CTGCAATAAGAGGGTGGTAAGAATAACTTAATAATAGCAAACACAGAAAGAGCCAGGCTCTGAGTACTTTACAAGTATTAAAGCATTTATTTAATACTCAGAGCAAGTCTATGAGGAAGGTGTGTCCCCATCTTACAGTTGAGGAGGCCAAGACCCCATGAGGTTAAATAACTTGTTCAAGGTCACTTAGCTAGCATGTGGATGAGATGGGAGTCAGCCCCAAGCTGTCTGTTCCAAGGTTTATACTATTCAGTGCTTATTGGCTACAGATGACTTCACAGGTCCAGTCTCACAGCATGTGCTCACCTGTTCAGTGAGGTGACTGCCACTGAGTTCTCTTTCACAGGTAAGGAGACCTAAGCTTAGAAACTGGCCCAAGGTTTGCAATTCCCGAATGATAGACTCAAAACCAGGTGTTTGGATTCCTGGTTCAAGGCTCCCAGAGGATGGTGTGGGGGAATTTATGGAGAGTCCACAAAACAATCACCACTTTGAGAATTAGACTTTGTGAGGTTCTGGAGGAGTTGTGCTGGTGACCTCTGTTTCAGAATTGGGATGCGTAGACAAAAGCCTATGAGAGGAAAGAAGGAGGTTGAGTGATAAGTAAGGCCAGAATGGGGAGCCTAGTGACAGAGAGGTTCTTCCGGGGCTCCTTTGGATACCCATTTGGAAACACACGTAAAAATGAAGACGGGGAGGCAGCTTGTGGTAGTGAGGAGCAGCGCAGGACAAAGCAGGCAGTGAGAAAAGGATCAGACAAACCAGGGATCAAGAGGAAGCAGAGCTTACTGAATGCAGTCAGGGAGGGTTGACTGTAGTCCAATCTCCTCTCTTAACTCATTGATTAAGCAAAGAGCTCAGTGTTTCCATAGCCAAGACGGTAAGATCTCCCTGCTCCAGCCGCTGCTTAAAACGGGACAGGCTTAGGGATGGACCAGGCAACAAGAACAGCAATGGGACGGGTGGTCGGGAGGGCCAGCGTGAGCAGATAGAGGAGGGCACCGTGGCACCGGCTCTTGGAGACTCCAGCCGCCTCCCCGTGCTGCAGGTCTACCACGAGCGTGTCAACACGCATGTAGCAGAGGCCGAGTTCGACTATGCGCGCTGTGGCGTCCGAGACGTGTCCAAGGCGCTGGTGGGGCTGGAGGGCGCGCCCGCCACGAGGCTGCGCTTCACCAAGTGCTTCAGCTTTGCCAGCGTGGAGGCTGAGAACGCGTACCTGTGCCAGCGCGCGCGCTTCTTTGCGGAGAACGAGGGCCTGGACGACTATATGGAGGCGCGCGAGGGCATGCACCTCAAGAACGTGGACTTTCGAGAGTTCATGGTGGCCTTCCCGGACCCAACCAGGCCGCCCTGGTACGCCTGCTCGTCGGCCTTCTGGGCTGCGGCGCTACTCACGTTGTCGTGGCCCCTTCGCGTGCTGGCTGAGTACCGCACGGCCTACGCGCACTACCACGTGGAGAAGCTCTTCGGTCTGGAGGGCCCGGGCTCGGCTAGCAGCGCGGGCGGCGGCCTCAGCCCCAGCGACGAGCTCCTGCCCCCGCTTACCCACCGCCTGCCGCGCGTCAACACGGTGGACAGCACGGAACTTGAATGGCACATTCGCTCCAACCAGCAGCTAGTGCCCAGCTACTCGGAGGCGGTGCTCATGGACCTGGCGGGGCTGGGCGCGCGCTGCAGTGGGGCAGCAGGCGGTGGCTTCGCGCCCACCTGCCGCTATGGCGGGGTGGGCGGCCCGGGCGCGGCGGGAGTGGCCCCTTATCGGCGCAGCTGCGAGCACTGCCAGCGCGCGGTCAGCAGCTCATCCATCTTCTCACGCAGCGCGCTGAGCATATGCGCCAGCCCGCGGGCAGGCCCTGGGCCCGGCGGAGGCGCGGGCTGCGGGGGCAGTCGCTTCTCGCTCGGCCGTCTCTACGGTTCCCGACGCAGCTGTCTGTGGCGCAGCCGGAGCGGGAGTGTCAACGAAGCGAGCTGCCCCACGGAGCAGACGCGGCTGTCGAGCCAGGCCAGCATGGGGGACGACGAAGACGACGACGAGGAGGAGGCCGGCCCGCCGCCGCCCTATCACGACGCCCTCTACTTTCCAGTCCTCATCGTCCACAGGCAGGAGGGGTGTCTGGGCCACAGCCACCGGCCGCTGCACCGCCACGGCTCCTGCGTGGAGACCTCACTGTGAACTCCGGCCCTGGGGAGGCCCACAATGTCCTCCCTCCTGCCCCTCGCCGCCTGGGCTCCCTGCGTGTAGCAGGGGGAGACACGATGACTGAGGCTGGGCGGGTTACAGCGGGAAGCGGGTAAGGGGAGAGCGCCCAGACGGTCCCAGGTGGGACTGAGACCCCTGCCTTCCCTGTACATAGAGACAGAAGGGTGGGAGGGGATCAACACCTCTCCTAAAATCCCACCCACCTGGGCAGAGTCGCTCTTCCAGCCCCACTCAAGTTCCTAAGGAGATGCCTCCTCCTCCTACACGCACATTCGAGATTTCCCGTCCAGCCTGTCAACGGGTCTCCTGACTGTTATTTGGCAACTGTGCTGTTGGGCCTCCTCTCAAGGGAGCAGCCCTGGCAGTGCAGCTGGGAGGTGTAGAGGCTGCGGGGAAGGGCAGTTGGGGCTTTCCTTCTTCCGTTTCATGGCCCCGCTGAGGCCTCTATTGAGGGGGCGGTGGTTTGGTGAACCCGAGGGCTGGCTTCCAACCAGCTAATGAATTCAGCGGGTCTGAGGCCAGGGTCAGGTGGCAGCCCCAATACTCCATCTCCACGTCGTGGAAATGTTGCTGTCCTTTTCTTGGCGCTGGCCCCAAAGCTTGGGGTTTCCTTTCTGCCACTCCCTCCGCTGTTGTTTATCTCACTGAGCCCCAGGAGCCAGATCCTGGAGGGACTGTGCTCACCACACCTACGTCACTCATCCCTGGCTCTGAAGAGCTGTTGCCAGGGTGCAGGGGGAGGGGAGGGGAGCCATAGAGGGCAGAACGCCTCAGTCCTCTCTGGAAACTCCCGCAGCCTCCCAGCAGCAACCTCCTCACCTGGGTTCTGGGCGGGTGCTCCCTTTAGAGAGACTCAGGTGCCACCCTGGCAATACTCATTAGAGCTGGCCAGGGTGAGTGACTAAGTGGAGAGACCCCAAGATACTTGTGTGTCAAGCAGAAGAATTAAAGAGCAGAGGGCAGCGGAGGGTACAGTGAAAGGACTTCTAAAGATAGGGGTGCCCGGGTGGCAGCCCTTTCCTCCCCCAGAACCATGCGGAGGAGTGGAATGTGCTTGCCCCTTTTACACGCCTCTCTGGGGCTGAGGATGGTGTCATAAGTCCCAGCTGGAGAAATACTCAATTCCAGTGGCAGGGTCAGAGGCAGGAATTCTCTGAATCTTGCCTGACCACTCCATCTTCCTCTATCCCACAAGCTGAAGCCCTGCTGTGTGTTCCAGGGTCTTCAGAAGGGCATCCTGCCACCGCCCCAAGGCGCTGGCCTCCCGTCCTGTTCCCCTAAAGCTCTGACACCAACTTCTCTCCCCCTGTGCTCTTCCACTCCAGTGTGTGTCAGCGTGCATGTCTTGTACAACCCATGCCCTCCCAACTGCCCTGGCTAAGGTTTTCCCAGCAGATTTAGCGTCCCAGGGTTGAGCTCACTTTTCAGCCTAGACGGGATTCCCTGGGGCCACCCAGGCACGGCCCACCCCTGCTGCTTCTTGCTTTGCCTCAGCCATCAGATCTCCACCTCCAGCCTCTCCCATATTCCTCCAGCCCAGCCAGGCCTGCCCTATAGAGGGGTGTGGCCTCCACCTATGCAACATCACCCTGGCTCCCCTTCCCTCCTTTCCAGGAGGAAACGGGGTGGAGGGAATGGACAAATTGTGGAGACACCATAGCCCATGGCTCATCAAGGAGTTGAACTTTCCAATCACATAGATAGCTGAGAGGAGGAGGGAGGGGACATCAGAGAGGGAGAGGTTTGGGCAGAAGGGAACAGCTGCCCACTGGGTTTTCCTGGGCAGCAGTGCTCACCTGCCTGCCAGTATGAAAACTGCCTGGACCCTGAGTCTGTGCTTATCAGGGATCTGGAAGCAGGAACACCCTTCTTTCCTCTGAATTGACATCTGTGAGGTACAGGTGGTGAGTTGTGGCCTCAGGCCCCAGTTCTTGGCCTGGCACATGGATGTCCTGTCCTCATATGGGGTCATCCTGGCCACCTTGTGGCTCCAAGGCTGGAGGAACTTGGCTCCTCCCTCAGGCCCAGTCCTGAGGCCACAGCCTAGCCTCAGAAGACGGGAAGAGGAGCCCCTGTTATACTTTTCCCCTGAATGGATCATTTCTGCCTAGGTCATCTTACACAGACAGACTCAGCTCCCACACACGCACAGACTTAGAGAGAAACCAATTCTTTGGTCTATTTTCTTGGTGACTTTATTGATTGCCAGGGAAAACGAAAACCAGAAAATTAATCTCTAAAATTAAACTTTACACTGAATGTTCTTGTTTCTCTAATTAGAACCTCTGCTAGCAGCTGTGGCTACACACACACCTACCCTCACACCTACACGTTTGCACTCCGGAACTGTCAGAGGGTGTCAGGCATGGAAGGACTTTAGGTGGCCCAGACAGGCACATGCTGCAGTCACTCCCAAGCCCCCTTTGGTGCTCTGCTCAGCGCCTGTTTGTTAGAAGTCTCTAGAAGGCAGGCACTCCTGGATTGTGGTTGTAGCCCATGGCCCGCCCTATGGGGACATGGGTTTGGAGGCTCTGGGCCACTCAGCCCAAAGAGAATGGAGGATGAAGCTCAGCCTGAATCCATCAGTCAGGTCCTCTTGTGGCCCCATGGGCTGATGTGATTCCTGTGGGTTTGGTCCCAGGTTGGGCAGCCACAGAGTGCTGGGGATTCATGGAGAGCACCCGGAAGGCTCCATGGTCCTGGGGATAAGGGCTTGTGGGGTGGGCTGGGCCTGGCTGGGGAGAAGACAGGTCTCTGTCAATTGGGTGCATCACACTGTGGCCTTTCTGTTGTGGATATCCAAGCGCAAAGATTGTACAAATCAAACTGGTGGATAATAAAGTTGCGGATGACTCACTGATCTCTCTTTCCCAGTGTGCGCTGCTTCCCTATCTCCTTTGTCCTGCAAGAAGCTCCCTGGGGTGGATGGCAGGAGTAATACCACACTTCCTCAGCAGTCATTCTCTACGATTGCCTCCTCAAGGGAGGTCTGAGCTCCTGTCACCCATTGTCCCTTTCTCAAATTGAGAGTTGGGGATTAGGGGATGGTGTGACCTATAGAATGTGACCAACATGACCCTATAGAATCAGGCAACAGGAAGGTGGCAGAAAGAGCCAGGCATGATTCTACTGTAGCCAGAGGGGAGAGAGAGAGGGAGAAGGAGAAGGAGAGAGTGAGAGAGAGGAAGAGGGAGAGAATGTGTATATGTACTTGAAGGTTAAGGATCTGCGCAGTAGAGAGGAATATGGGAGTGGTGAGCCAGGGAGGTGGGCAGCCCTCACAGGAGAAAACCTGTCTGATCAGGTACAGTCCTCAGAGTCTTCTCTGCCTTACCTATTGCTGGAAGGAGTTGGTCATTTGTGGGGTCCAGTAATCCTTTTTCTGGGTCCCAAAACTAGGTGTCTGCTTTATACTGCTTCTTTCCCTATCTCAGTTCCCCTTCCCCACCTCCCATCGGTTTGCCTATGACCCTCTATCACATACTTCAAGGACTGGTCTCCCCTCCCCCTTCCTCTGAACCACTGTGACATTCTGCAGCAGAGTGCCCAGCAAAAGCATGAAATTCCCGATGGAGCTGAGGTAAAGACCCAAGTCAGGTCCCTGTCCCCACTCTTATTCCACAGAATGATCAGGGTCATTGGCAATGATGGGAGACGTCAAATAGCCAGGATTCAAGGTCCGCTGACGGGCAGCTTCCCGGTTGGCACAGAGGGCCTGGCCAATGAGGTACTCGCTCTCCTGGGCTACATCTGATAGGCGGAGGTCAAATTCCAGGAGGGTCTTGTTGTCTGACATGCCTTCCAGGAGCTGCTTGCCACCATCCTGGGACAGTAGGAAAAGGGAAGGGTCACTTTTCATCATCACCCAGGATCACGTGCACACACATATTTTAATATGGATATGTCTAAACAATTTCACAAAACCATACTTAACCTATCTATGCATGCTGACCCGTTCTGTCCCATTCTACTTGAAAAATGGTGGTCAAGATCCCTAAATTTATTTTTCAGTCTCAGTGGTTTGAAAAACTTGGATGTCTAGCATCTGGGTAGGTCTTGGAATGTGGGACTATTCTGTCTAGGGAGATGTGAGGGGGAATTTGGGCAGGGTGACAAAAATAAAAAAAGGAGACAGGAACAGTGTTCTCCCCTTCACTGCCTCTGGGCATGTCCCCATATGAGATGTCAAAACTTCAGCTGCCATCTTGGGAGCACCAGAGAGGCCATGGCCATGGGACTGGCACTGAATGGAGAGATTTGTCAGCTCCAGGATCCCCACTCTGGGGCTTCTGGTTATGTGAGATCCTAAATATTCCTCCTGTTTAAGTCACTTCCTGGCTCAGTTTTCTGTTACTTGCAGCCAAGAGCATATCTATGGTGCACATGGTGCATGCCTGACAGGCATAGTGGGCGAGAGTGCAAGGTTGTTCTCATGGAAGGTGTGAAAGAATGACACCTTGGAAGGTAGAATATTGCTGTTCTGTGGTTGTATCCCAATAGTGTGTTGTGAAGTCAATTTAATGGGTCACAGAAGCATTTAAAAAAATGAAATAAAACAGAATCCGAAGAAAAATAGGATAAATCACAGACAGTAAATGTAAATTTCAATGATATTATGTTTATATGCATGTCCACTGGGTGTTCACATAACTTTGATTTCCATTTTCTTTTTGGTACTGGGGATTAAACCCAGAGATGCTGAGCTATATATATCTCTAGTCCTTTTTCAATTTTTATTTTGAGACAGAGTCTAGCTGAGTTGCTGAGACTGACCTGAAATTTGCAATCCTCCTGCCTCAGCCTCCCAAGTCACTGAAATTACAGGCATGTGCCACCAAACCTGGCTGTAACTTGTATTTTTTAAAATTATTTTTTTAGTTGTATATGACTCAATACCTTTATTTTTATATATTTATTTTTTATGTGGTGCTGAAGATCAAACCTAGTGCCTCATATGTTCCAGGAAAGCACTCTGTCACTGAGCCACAACCCCAGCCCTGTAACTTGTATTTTTTATTCCAGGACTTGGTCAAGGAAGTTTGAAAATCACTGTCAGAAAGGACTCAGGCTGGGTTGGGAATATAGTGGTAGGCTTGAACCCCAGCTTTGTCAAAACAGAGCAAAATAAAAAAAAGAAAACAAAACAACCCCCCATTTGATTGTATAGATTTAAAGATTAAAGGAAAAATATTGGATATTATTGCATACGCATATATTATAGCATAGTATGTATGCATATTCAGTGCAGAGTGTAGTAACTCAAGCTGTGATTTCTTCTTCTTTTTCTTCTTTTTTTTTTTTTTTTTTTTTTTGCAGTGCTGGGGATCAAACCAGGGCATCATTCATGCTAGGCAAATGCCCCACCACTGAGTCATACCACCCGCCCCCATCTATAACCTCTCGATACTTGTCCTGCAAGGGTCCCATGGCAGTTGGGTTTTGTTTTGTCTTTTTAGTGATAAAGGCAACCCAGGGTTGCTTTATCACTAAGTCACACCCCCAGCCCTTCATATTTTTTAGAGACAGGGTCTTGCTAAATTGCTTAGGGCCTAGCCGTGTTGCTGAGGCTGGCCTTGAACTCGTAATCCTCTTGCCTCAGCCTCCTGAGTTGCTAGGATTACAGGCCTGCACCACTGTGCCTGGTTTCCCATGGTAAGTGGATTCCACACTCACCCTCTGCCTGCCCCCAAAGAGAGGACTCACCAGCCCGATGTGGTTGCAGGACAGGTTGATGCTGGTGAGCGTAGTGTTGATGGCAAGCACCTGGGCGAGGAGCGTGGCTGTGGGCTCGGACAACTCATTGCCACCAAGGTTCAGTGTGGTAAGGCACTTGTTGGTCTGCAAGGCATGGGCAAGTGCCTGGCCGCCCTCATCTTCGAGGCAGTTGAGGCGTAGGTTGAGGGAAATGAGGTTGGTGTTGTGTGCCAGGGCGTGAGCCAACGACTGCGCGCCCGGCCCACGTACTTGGTTGTTGGCCAGGTTAAGCACGCGCAGGCGGCTGTGGCTGAGCAGCTTTGCAGCAGCACATGCACCACGGTCCCCAATGAGGTTGTGCGACAGGTCCAGCTCCCTGAGGGCTGGGTGGTCAAGCAGGCTGCGGATCAGGATGCGGGCCTTCTCATCGTCCACCTTGCTTCGAGTCAGCCTGAAGATCTGAGGGTAGGTGGAGGGTCTATAGCACCTGCCAACAGGGCAGGCTGCCCACCTACTCCCCTTTTGCAGGTAGAGAAGGTACCAAAGGTAGCTACGAGGAGGTCTGAGACTCTGTTCCACTGGTATTGGCCACCCAGCTGGTTCTTGGACAGGACAGGTCTACCCAGTGGTACAGAATTGGTGGTAGGTTGCAGAGGGACATGTTATTCCTTTTTTTTCTTTTTCCCAGTAGTGGGGATTGAACCTATTGGTGTTCTACCACTGAGCTACATCCCCATCCCCCCCTTTTTAATCCCCATCCCTTTGTTAACTTTCTTTTTTTTTTTTGCGCGGGGTGGGGTGGGGGCTCTTAAGCACTGATCCACATCCGCAGCCCTTTCTTACATTTTAGTTAGAGACAGGGTCTCACTAAGTTGCTTAGGGCTTTGCTAAGTTGCTCAGGCTGGCTTTGAACTCGTGGTCCCTCCCGCCTCAGCCTTCCAAGCTGCTGGGATTACAGGTGTGCACCACGGCCTGGGCTGCTTTGTTTTGTTTTACTGCTGGGAATGGAACCTAGGGCCTGGCTCTTGCTAGACACATGCTCTACCACTGAAGTACACTGCCAACCCTAAGGACAGGAACTCTTGAAAGAGGTTAGCTGGGGAGACAGGAAGTGGGGAGGGAGGATGAGAAACAGAAAACAATGGAATGAAAAAATAAAAGGTACAACCCGAGATATGAAAAATTGTTCTGTATTTGTGTAATAAGAATTGTAATGCATTCCGCTGTTGCTTTTTTTTTTAATCAATAAAAAAATAAGAAAAGGAAGATGGTGGGTGCTGGGAGCCATTAGCCAAGTAAGTATGACAATTTCCTTGCCAGCGTACCCCATGTTGCAGTGACATTGAATGTACTTAACCTTGCTCAAGGACCAAGGCAGATTAGGGTGTTCCCGGTTTTAAGATAATCTTGTTTAGGGCGTTCCCAGTTTAGGTTCCAGGTTTAAGGTTTAAGATTATTCCTGCTGGGAATAGGGCGTATCCTGCTGCCTGAGTTCCCCTTGAGTTCTCACGGGATTCAGACAGTATATTTTGGAGATAGAAGCCCAGTGGAGGAATTTGGGAGAGAAGGTGGATTTGGGAAGAGAACGTGGATTTCCCCAGAACGTGATTGTAGACGGCTGGTGTGAGTTCGGGAATAAAGAGTTGCTGTTTGAATCTACAAGCTGTGTGGTGGCTCGTGATTGTGTGCCCAGCCAGACTTCGGCATTTGTGCCCAGCCAGACTGTGGCAGGTGGGGATAGCATTATGAATGTTGTACATAGGAGCTTGTCCCCTCTGCTTCCCACTGGCTGTTCCCTATCCTCTGACTCCCTTCAGACTTCTCTGTGGCTGGCCTCTCTCTCCCTTCCCTTTAATTCTTTCCTTCCTTTACTGCCCTCTTAGCCAGGTCAAAGCCTGGTGAAAGTCCTCTTGTATTTTTATTGCATTTACCTGATGAAGCCCAGAATCTGGATCAGCCTTGCTCTCTATTTTCTGCATGCCTTATGCCTAGTCAACGAACAGGATGGAAAACATCACCTGATGGGACTGATTGGTATCATTGGCACCACCAGCAGGCCTTCAGTGCTGTGTACCTATGCAACTTTACTTCTCTGGACAACAAACTCTTTCATAATATACAATGACTATTTTATTTTATTTTACTTATAAATATTGTTTGGTATCAGGGATTGAACTCAGAGGCTCTCTACCATTGAGCTGCATCCCCAACACTTTTTATTTTGAGACAAGATCTCAATAAGTTGCCCAGGCTGGCCTTGAATTCGTGATCCTCCTGCCTCAGCCTCTTGAGTTCTTGGGTTACAGGCATAAGTCACAATACCCAGCTTTACAACAATTATTGTTGTTGTTGTTGTTATTATTATTATTATTATTAGGTACCAGGGGACTGAACCCAGGGGCATTTTACCACTGAGCTACAGCCCAGATGTTTTTGAGTTGCTCAGGCCTCACTAAATTGCTGAGGCTGGCCTTGAACTTGCTGTCCTCCATCCTCAGCCTCCTAAATCCCTGGAATTACAGGCATGCACCATCGTGCCTGGCTACAATAACTATTTTAACCTTTTCCAACCTCAGACTCCAAGGGGCCTCCCTATAGAACTCCCTTTCAGCTTGTGGACTCTCCTGACTTCTCAGCAACTGAATGGGATCCCATTTCTGATATCAAACACACACCCACTGCTCCTCACCACATCCCCACTTCCACTGCCCAAGGCCAACTGCCTCACATCAGTGCTAGATCCCACTGTTCTTGCCTTTTCAAGAACTTTCCCTGATCCATGGACCTGGACTTCTCCTCCCCCTCCCCCTCCCCCTGAAGCTGTTTTTTTTTTTTTTTGCGGGGGGGGGGGGTGGTTACCAGGGATTGAACTCAGGGGCACTCAACCTGAGCCATATCCTCAGGGTCTCACTGAGTTGTTTAGCACCTCGCTGTTGCCGAGGCTGGCTTTGAATTTGTGATCCTCCTGCCTCAGCCTCCCAAGCCGCTGGGATTACAGGCATTCGCCATCTTGCCTGGTCCTCCAGCTGTTTTTAAGTTGCTTAGGGCCTCACTAAATTGCTGAGGCTGGCCTCAAACTTGCTATCCTCTATCCTCAGCTTCCTAAGCTCCTCCTCTTTCCTCTCCCCCTCCTCCCCTTCTTTTTCTCCTCCTCTTCCTTATTCTTCCTCTAAAACTATCTTTTTTACTTTTTCTACATTTTTTTAATTGGTGCATTATAGTTGCACACACAATGGTGGGATTTGTAGTTACACAGTCCTACTGGTACCTTTCTTCTGCATTTGCCCCTTTTATGCAGGTGGATGGGGCCTTGCTTTCATTCTAAACATGCAAGTTTCTTAAGAAAACCCAACACCCTCATCTATCACCTCTCTCCTCATCTCTGCTTCCCAGATGAGTTCTCCAAGAAGCTGGTCTCAGCCGCCCCCTTTCTCACTTCCCACTCTCCCCATGAACCACGCTCACAGCTTGTGCTCCTGGAATGCCTCTGAACCTCCTCTCAGGGACGTCCAGGTTTGCAAAGGCCAGTCCTTGGCTGCACCCTACCCCATTGCTCACTCCCTCTACTTGAAACACGTGCCTCTGTCGCTCCGTGACACAATGCCATCTCCCCCTCTGCCTGCCTGCAAGCTCTTGCCATCAACACCACATGCCAAGTCTCTCTCCTTCCCTCACACTTGGTTCTCCCTTATGAGACTCCATCCAAATGCAGGCCTTCACGGGCCATGTTGATAACACGGCACCTGTTTCCATGTTCAATTCAGACTCTTCAGCTGAGTGTCGGACCCTCTACCCAACTAACAAGATGACCCCTGCTCTAGGATGTCTCACACTGGAACTCAAAACAGGGGTCCCCCTCAAGACAGCGGTCCCGGATCCCCTGTCTCTGCCGCAGCCCCCTCCAATCATCTGGTCTCACGAGCAAGAATCCTTGATGTCTCCTGCTGCTTCCTTCTCTTCTACATCCTTCTGAGGCCAGCGAGACCTAACCCTAACCCTAATCTTAACCCTAACCCTACTGATCATACTGCCTCCGTACCTCTTGAGTCTCCCCACCTCTGCAGACACCTCCATGGTTCAAACTACCCTCATCTCATCTGTGTTTGGCAGTGGTCTCCCAGGTCACCTGCCATGTCCACTGTTGCCCTTCCCATTCTCCTTCCCAAACATGGTCATCTTTTCATCTTTTCCAATAACATGACCATCCTTTTGACTGACACCCTTGGATGGTGCTATGGTTTGTCCTCCAAAGGATCACTGTGTTGGAGACTTCATCACTAGTGTAGTGAACCTTTAAGAGGCGGAGCCTAGTGGATGGTGGTGGAGTCACCAAGGGTGCTTCCCTCAGAAGAGATTAATGTAGTTCTCCTGGGACCCCATAAGAGCAGGTTGTTATAAAGTGAGATCATCCCATGCACTTGGTTTCTTCCTTACCTGTTTCCCTTCCTGCTTCTCTACCACATTGTGGAGAGGAAAAGCAACGGGTGGTATCATGCTGTATGGACCCTTCAGCCACCAAAATTGTGAACCCAATACACTTTTCCCCACCCCAATGCATGCCAGGCAAGCACTCAGCCACTGAGCTATATCCTCAGCCTCCACCTCTTTTCTTCATAGTATACCCAGCCTCAGATATGTTGGTATAGCAACAGAAAGCTGACTGATCCAGATGGTGCCCCAGAGCTCTTCAGGATAAAGATAGATTCCTTGACAAGGCCTCTTTCCCCCAGTGATTCCGGCTGCTGATTGGCTTTCCCTTTTTATCCCATCCCTGTTCCCCCATATTCATGGCTCCAGCCACACGGCCTTCTCTTCAGGCCCTGGAATTAGCTGTGTATTGACCATACCCAGGGGCCTGTATGTGCTGCTCCCTCTGCCCGGAGTGAGCTTGTCTCTTTCCTCAAGACTCTAACTCCCACTCTTCCTTATAATCACTATACAAGTGACACTTTCTCAGGGTAGCCTTCCTGGGCAAGGTCAAATGTCCCTTTTATAATCTCTCATAAGAATGTCTTTTCTGTGGGCTGAGGCTGTAGCTCAGTGATAGAGCACTTGCCTAGCATGTGTGAGGCACAGGGTTCAATCCTCAGCACCACATTAAATAAATAAATAAATACATAAATAAATAAATATGTTTTTTAAGAATGCCTTTTGGTTTTTTTTTAAAGCATGCATTTCATCCCAGTTTAGGGTTACCAGAGGCAATACAAGATGGCCCGGTGCAGGTAGCTCAGTGGTAGAGCAGGTGTTTAGTGGGCAAGAGACCCTGGGTTTGATTTCTAACAGTCCAACAGTCCAACAAACAAACAAACAAACAAGGCAAACAAAAAGCACTAAAAGAGGATGCCCTGTTCAGTTTAAATTTCAGATGAACGAGTATGTCCCATGGAATATTTGGGACATAACTTCTAAAAAATTTGTTATTTTTCCGAAATTCAGATTTAACTGGACATCCTGTATTTCTAGTCGCTAAATTTGGCAACCCTTTGTCTAGTTACAATTTTACATTTATATGATTGCTCATTAGTGCCATTCATCCCTCCAGACTGTTAGCTGCAGAGGGCACAAATAGTATAATTTTGCTCTCTAGATCTTCAGCACCTGGGACAGGGCCTGGAGCACAGATGTTTGTAGGATGACTAACTGGCTGGCGAACTGAGCCTCCTTCATCTACATACCCTGAAGCTAGTCGCTTGGTGCAGGATGCATTTTAAAAAACAGTCAAGTCTGGGTCTGGGGGTCTGCGCCCGTGCTTAGTATGCCTATGTGAGGCCCTGGGTCCAATCCCCAGCACCCCAACAAAACCCCGCAAACTCCTAGGTGGATGCATGAAAAAAAAAAAAAAAAAACTGGAAAGAAGCAGATGGGAGTAGAGAAGGGAGAGGAGGGAATCCGGAAGACGCTGGGGAGAGAAGGTGGGGCTACGCAGGGGGCAAATGGTACCTTAAGGGTGTGGCATGCCTTGATGGTGGCCGCCAAGGAGTGACAGTCTCGGTAGGTGAAAAGGAAGAGGTTCCACTCGAAGTTCATGCCACAGTCTTTGACACCGTACACCAGGTCCAGCTCCTCCAGGTGGATCAGGCCGGCCACCAGATCGCCCAGCTGGTAGTGGTCCATGGTGGGCTCCTCCGACTCCACCTCGCTTTCCGACTCGGACAGCTCCCGGGTCAGCGGCGAGGTTGGGAGCTGCACTGGTGGAAGGAACTGATCCACACGGATCCTGCGCACGTAGTTCCTGCAGAGGGGCAGCAAGTCGAGGATGACGCTGGGGTCCGTGGTACCCGGGATGAAGTGCTTCAGCAAGTTCTCCAAGTGCCTCTCGAAGAACATGTGTTTCCAGCTGCCGCCATGCTTGGCCACGTGGCACACCGGCCAGCGCGTCGTGCAGCAGTGACGCCAGTAGTTCTCATCTTCGATCAAGTTGGCCGTCACAGCCAGCGGCAGGTCAGGGGACAGGTGGTTCAAGACCTTCTGCTGGTGCTCTGGGAGCAGCTGCTTCAGAATAGGGTTTTCTTGGGGAGAAGAGGAAGGAAAACAGGGGATAGGTCTCAGTGTTGGGGATATGACAACATGGTTCCCTGGGGTTGGCTTTCCTGGGGGCACTGAGGAAAGGAAAGACCCTTTTTGCCCTTGGGGAGCTCCACTCCGAAAGGAGAGACAGCCTTTGCTCTAGGAGGCTCAATGGGAGGGGAGATGAGAAGTCATAGCCCGAGAATATTCCCTGCCTGCAGCTCAGTATCTGGGCTCAGGGAACCCCGGTCCAGGATAAATCTCCACTCCAATCCTCCATGAAAACCTCCTCAGATGGAGGAGATAACCCCTGACTCCCAGTCTGACCCGATTCATTTATTTGAAAACAAATATATTTGCTTTAACACCTACTATGTGCCAGACACTTTCTAAGCGCTGGAAATATAAACATGTAGGAGACAGATGAAGCCCCTCCCCCTCAGAGTTGACATTCCAGCCAGCAGAGGGCCACAGTAAATGAGGTCAGGTGGCAGTAGTTGCTGGAGGCAAATGATGGTCCTGTCCTCCGAGAGCCCCCCTGCTATGGGAGGGGCTGGCAGTAGTCTTTGGAAAGTGTTAACGTTTTGGGATCAGAGGGTACAGAACAAATGAGGAGGAACCCACACAAACCAGGGAGACTCCATCTGGGAGGAGGGGTTAACCAGGGAGGGCCTTCCAGAGGAGGAGGTGAATTTGGTTCAGGTCAAGTTTTGCTGGAGAATGTGGACAAGACTGGGAAAGGACGCAGGGGTGGGGGTTTGCTGTGTGTGGGGGGTGGTTGCTGTGGAGGGGGGGGTTGCTGTGGGGGGGTGGGGGGGTTGCTGTGTGGGTGGGAGTCTGGTGGGGCCCGAAAGTGAGGCAGCACCAGACATTGTCTGGGTGCCTGGTGAAAGGGAAGTCCCCAGCAGCTAGGAGGATGCTACCAGGGGGTGCAGGCTGCCCCAGGACCTTGTTTCTGGGGTCTCCACACCAGGAAGCCTCCACTCCTGCCTCCCTCCTGGTCTGCTCCTGCCCTCCCAAGCCCAAGCTGGGCAGGCTCACTCTCGAAGTTCTTGATGATGTGCTGAATGCAGAGCTCTGTGAGGAGGGGCACAATGGCCAGTGACCACTCAGCATCCTCAGCGATGATCCGGCGCATGTGACGCACATTTGTGGGCTTGCTCTTTGCTGGGAGTGGGCCTGAGGAGGACACGGTCTTCGAAGGCTGTGGGCCTACGTTTGAAATCTGGCTTGCAGTGGGCGGCGGGCCCTGGTTGGAGACTGTGGACTGGCTGGGGACGGACACTAATGGTGGTGTTAGGGTGCCCTGCATGCTGGGGCCTGGCAAGGAAGGAACACGAAGCCCCTTGGTGACCTTGCAACAGGAAACTTCTCAGACTGGCCGGTCCTTGGTTCAGATGGGGACCTAGAGCAAAAGAATGGGGGGAGGGGTACAGGTGTTACTTTGGAGGATCTCAGCAGAGTGGTGCTTAGCTGTCAGGGTCTGGAGTGGAGAAGATCCAGGTATAAATCCCAGTGTGGCCTTGGGCCAATTACTGGACCTCTCTGAGTTTCAGAGAGGTTAAATGAAATTTTACCCTGTGAAATAAGGGTTACAGGACCAATAGGATTATTTGGAGGAGTAAATATACAAAGAGGTATTGTATATTGTCTAATACATGGAACTGTAGCAAGGAGCAGCCCAAATTTTTAGATAATAATAGTTACACAGGAATTACAGTCATTGCTATACACCCACTCTTTTAGTTTAGTTTTTTGTTTTTTTTTGGTACAGGGGATTGAACCCAGGGGCTCTTATCCATTGAGCCAAATCCTAGTACCCCCTTTTAAAATACATTTTATTTAGAGACAGGGTCTTGCTGAGTTGCTTAGGGCTTTGCTAAGTTGCTAAGGCTGCCTTTGAATTTGTGATCCTCCTGCCTCAGCCTCCTGAGCTGCTGGGATTACAGGTGTGTGACACCGTGCCCAGCTTCAGTTTTTTTATGTATATTAACTCATCCTTACAAAAGTTTTCTAGGTATAGGTACTTGTATTTTCCCCATGATTCTAATGAGAAACTGAGGTACAGAGAAGCTAATTGATTTGTTCAATGTCACACAGTTTATAAATAATTAATTCATTTTATTAAATTCATATTCTGAACCCTACATGTACTGTGCCTCCGAAGGTGAGGGGATTCAGTATGTATTGCTAAAAGACTGAGGTTTGCGAAAGAGCCATTTAGTTCAGAACAGCTCTGTGCATTAAACATTTCGCAGAAAGAACAGCAACTGCCTGACCCTGAGGACTGGGTTGAGAATAGTATGACCAACAGAAATACAAGGTGACCCCAAATGCAAGCCATGTTTGCTATTTTAAATTTTCTAATACCCCTATTCAAAAAGTAAAGAGGGATGGGCTGAGGTTGTGGCTCAGTGGCAGAGCGCTTGCCTCACACATGTGAGGCACTGGTTCTATCCTCAGCACTACATAAAAGATAAATAAACAAAATAAAGATATTATGTCCATGTATAATATATACGTAAAGAGGGTTGGAGGTGTAGCTCAGTGGTTGAGTGCTTGCCTAGTATCCACAGCATGGCAAAAAAAAAAAAGTTTAAAAAAAAGGTGAAATTAATCTTGCATTTAAATCAGTATGTCCATGATTTTGCCATTTAAATATGTAATCAACAAAACTATTAAAATATGTTTTTAGCCCGTGCTGTGGTGCACATTTGTAATCCCAGTGGCTCGGGAGGCTGAGGCAGGAGGATCACAAGTTCAAAGCCAGCCTCAGCAACAGCAAGGGGCTAGGCAACTCAGTGAGACCCTGTCTCTAAATAAAATACAAAATAGGGCTGGGGGTGTGGCTCAGTGGTCGAGTGCCCCTGAGTTCAATCCCTGGCACCCCCCCCCCCATTTGTTTTTATACCCAGTTTTCAGAATCTGATACTCCATAGGAGCACTGAGTGTCTGAGACCGTTGAGGGCAGGGCAGGGCGGGTTGAGACAGGAGAGAGGACCCGCACACACGCCTGCCCAGGCCGCCAGGCTCTCCACCTCCTCCCTGCCAGGGGCTCCAGCTCTGGCCCCTCCCTTCAGCCTCCGCCCAGTCTTCTGGTTCTCCAGACAGCAGTGGGCTGGCGTGGGAGGGGAGAAGGCAGCTAAATCTGGGGCTGAAGACAGAAGGCGTTCGCCCACTCCTCCAACCTTGCTGCGGGGCGCCCCTGTCCTGAGACCTGCAGGTGGAGACCAGCTGCCCCGGCGCTGGCTGCTCCTCGGGCAGTTCCCCCTCCGGTGGCGCCCTGACCCAGTGCACTGTGCAGCGTCCGGCGGGAAGGAACATTCTGATCCAACAAACGCGGCCTTGGCAGAGGGAGGAACCAGATGGTGCTCCCCAAGCCTGCCAGGCATCTCAAGGAGGAAAAGCCTGGCTGAGAGGGGGTTGGGGACAGGGCCAGTGTAGGGAAGATATTTATGCATTGTGACACCCCTCATGCAGATCAAATGCAAATTCCCAGATTGGGTCCATCCAGCCTTTTGGCTAATGGCTTCTCAGACAGAGGGTGGGGCTGGAAGCAGGTGTTGTGTGGATGCACGGGTCTGACTTTGCATTTCTGGCTTTGCTGATTGCTATGTAACCTTGGCCAAGTTACTTACCCTATCTGAACTTCAGTTTTCCTTATCTGTAAAATGGGATACTAATATCTTCCTAAGAAGACTACTGTAGAGATTCCTTTGTGATAATATTTGCTTAATATTGATGAAAATTGAAAAGGGTGCTGGAGGGGTGTTAGAGGCACTATGGAAGGCAGGGATGCTGACCTGGCACCTTTGAATGAGTGCCCTTTTCTATTTCCAGGGAGAGGTGAAGGACAAGGGGCAGTGGTGGTATTGGGGGCTAGATGCAAGCAGGAGAGAGGTAATGGAAGGGAGTCACAGGTGACAGGTTAACAGGTCAGCCCTGCTACTGCCAGCCCTGCATCTGGACTCCTGGGCTCTTTCTAAGGTTCTAGCTTAAAACATTCTGTCGTTCCCCTTGTCTGGGACAGTTCTCAGCCAAGCAGGACTGGGCTGGGCAGAGGAAGCGCCGGGGTTACTTGTAGGCATTGTCTTGGGGGAGGCGCTTCTGTCATTACTCACAATGCCACCCGGCCTCACTACTCTGGGAGGCAGGACTTGCTCCTTCCTCCTGGGGGCCACACCTCGAGGAATCCTACCTGGGCCAGGTGAGATGCCCTTGGGGACAGGACAGCCCTAGGCTTAGGGCCTGTAGCCCACTCTCTCAGGAATGGGCAGCTTTTCCTAAGGCCTGGTCCTGACAATTCTCGCTGTTGTTGGGGGGCTGTAGTCTGCCCCTGCTGTGGCATGGCGCAAGGGACCCACCATGGCTCCCCAGGGCGCTGGCCAACTCTTCAGAAGGAAGGGGCGGAGCCTGACTCTGGGAGGCTGCCACCTGCAGGGCTGGAATAGAAATAGGCCCTGCCACCTTCCGTGTTTACAGAAACAGCAAGGCCACCGGGTTCTGATGTCATTTTAAGGCAAATGTTGAAGACATTAACTGCATAATAATTTTCACTTGATCAACTCTTTTAAAAATTAGACTTTATGAAAATATTTTTGGCAGATACCTTATTATCAGACACAGAGGATTTTTCTAAGCAAGATTTTAATTTTTAAATGTTTCCAAATATTTTTTAAAAATATATGTATACATGGGTTGGGATTGTGGCTCAGTGGTAGAGCGCTTGCCTAGCACAGGTGGGACCTGGATTCAATCCTCAGCACCACATACAAATAAAGGCATTGTGTTGTGTCATCTACACCTAAAAAATAAATATTAAAAAATATAAATGTATACACATATTTGTTACTGGAGATTGAACCCAGGGGTGCTTAATCACTGAGCCACATCCCAGTCCTTTTTTAAAAAAATATTTATTTTTTAGTTTCAGGTGGACACAATGTCTTTATTTTATTTTTATGTGGTGTTGAGGATTGAACCCAATACCCCATGCATGACAGGCAAGCACTCTACTACTGAGCCACAACATCAGCACCCCAAGTCCTTTATATGTTTTATTTAGAAAGGGTCTTACAAGTAGTTGCTTAGGGCGTGGATAAATTGCTGAAGTTGGCCTCAAACTTTCGATCCTCCTGCCTCAGCCTCCTGAGCCACTGGGATTACAGGTGCACAACACTGTGCCCAGCTTAAAAATCTTTTTAAAAAACTAATAGTAGAGCATATATATATGTGTGTGTGTGTGTGTGTGTGTATATATATATATATATATATATATATATATATATATATATACACATACTTAAAAGGGTAATGAGCAAAACCAACTCCTTGCCTTGCAGTGGCTCTTGTAAAGCCGGTATGAAGCACAGCTCCTGCCTTGGCTGCCCTTGGTCACCACCACCTGGCTCTCCCACTGCTCTGACAGTTCACTTCAGAAGTCTCCATCACAGCTTTCTGGCGCTCAGCCCCCCCCCCGCCCCCCCCCCGGCTGAGGGCCCTCAGGTTTCTGCCATCCTCACTCCTTTTACGGGTCCCAGCTCTCATCCCTCCTCTGAATTCCAGGCTCAGGCTGGGAAGCTTCCCAGCTACTTTAGGTTTGACCCATCTGGATACCAGAACTGGCGCCAGCCTCCTGCAGGCCCCACATCTGGTTACTGACTCTACCCCGCCTCTGTCACCAGCATCTCTGAGCCTTTCCTGCTGCTGCCTCCGCTCAGGGACTCCTTGTCCAACACATCATAACTTCAGATGTTGGGCACCTGGCCTCTGGCACCAGGGTGGTGCTCTTACATCTAGCCCTGACCCAGGTCTCTGTGTAAGGCTTCCGTGTCTCATGCTGCCCTCAGGCGGAAGTCAGCCTCCTCAGCTCCTTTCCCTGCACACTGGGTGCTCTCTGAAATAAACTGCCCCCCCCCCCCGTTGGTACTTGGGATCCAACCCAGGGACACTTTACCACTGAGCTACACCTGCAGCCCCTTTTGTTTTTTATTTTGAGATAAGTTGCCCAGGCTGGCCTCAAACTTTCCATCCTCCTGCCTCAGTCTCCAGTGTCGTTGGGATTACAGAAGTGCACCACCACACCTGGCAATAAACTCCTCTCAGCATCTGGGACGCTGTGGGCTACTTCATACTTCCCTGCCTTTGCTCAGGCTGTTCCCTGGGCCTAAAACACTGTTCCTGCCACCTTGACCCAGGAAGAAGACTATTCATGGTTCACGGAATCTGACCACCAGCATCTTCCCCCCCCACACACACTTTCTAGTCAGAGCCTTTGTCAGAGCCCCAGCCTCCCAGAACCTGTGACCCTTCAGTGACAAGCTGCCTACCCTCTCTCCCCGCACCCAGGCCAGACCCAGCTCCTCAAGGTGTGGGGCTGCTTCCTACTCCTTTGTCTGCCGTCTCTCACCCAGCCGGGCCTGCCATGGGGGTAGCTGCTATTGGCTGTCCCATTTGCTTCTAAGAATAGATTCTGACCAAGAGGAGATTCCTATTGGCCAGAGCAATTGGTTCAGGGCTGGCTGCCTGATGCCAGCCAATCAGAGCCCTTCTTAGGATTTGTCCAAGTGGAGGCAGACAGAAGGACACGTCCTTGAAGGATCTGGAGCCCCTGCTGCTGGAGCAGGAGGGAAGGAAGCCTGGGGGAGGCAGCAGAAAGGAAGGGTGGGTCCAGGGCACCAGAACTTCAGTCCCCATCCATGTCCCCAAGGCCCCCAGAACGGCCTGGTTCCTCGCAGTCCCTGCAGCTCTCAGACCTAACTTGGCAGTCTTCTCATCAGCCCTCTTTGCAGACGCTAAGAGTTGGGCTTCTGTGACCAGGGGGTCCTGTCGTTTTGCTAAGCTCACAATTTGGTGAATGAAACGATGGGAAAAAAAGTCCTAAGTCGGTAGATGAAATAGTTCAATGGGGGAGCGGAGAGGGACCAAATGTCTAACTCCTGGGACCCCTTCCTCTCCGCATCACGCATCACGCTGCACTGCCAGTGTCACATCCCAGCTGTGCCAGCCTGAGGCAGTATCAGCAACCCACAGCTGTTCAGCACCCGACAGTTACAAGGTCCCTTGGGAACTCAGATCTGAGTCTTCCACCATCCCAGGATGCAGGCGGGGTGGCACCCTCATCCCCATTTTATAGAAGACACTGATGGCAGAATAGGGAACACCCAGGAGGGCGGCACATTCTATGTAACATATACAGTAAGAGGGACATACATGTTTATATAAGAGCTACCTCTCTGATCCCTAGTACTGCCAAAAAAAATAAATAAATCTATATCTCAGTGTGAATGAATTTCAGATGCAAGAGAGCACCATTAGAAAAGGGGAAGGGAATGTACCACCGAGAGGAGAACGGTGGGGGGACCACAGGAGCTGGAGGCGGGCTTGCCATAGCCACCTACTTCACAGGTGGGCCTCAGTCTGGCCTGGAATCACCAGTCTGCAGCTGAGGGTGTCAGTGAGCAGCGCTGTCTTCCCTGGGAGCCTGCAGGGATGGATAGACACCCATTAGTTGAAGGTCTAGGGGGAACCCAGAGAGTTCAAGGTCCCCAGAGGAGGGGACAGTCCCCGAAAGGGCTCAAGTTCCTCTCTGGAGCCTCATCTCCTTAGGGAGCCTGTGGGGCAGTCAGGGGATCCCAGAGTGAAGACTGGAAGCATGTTCCTGACCTGGGGCAGGAATCCTCTCTGACATTCCAGAGAGGTCAGAGCTACCAGCAGGGTGGCTCTTGGAGCACAGTTGGTGTCCCCATCTAAAGGATGCCCTTGGAGGAGGAGAGAGGAGGGTGGGGGGTGTGCTGTGGACTTTCATCTTTCTCTGGGGCCTGACTCACAGGCAAGGTGGGCTTCATGTATTGAAGTCTCCAACATCAAGCACAGCCAGCTCAGGACCATGATCCCTGGGGAAAGGCCAACCCTCCCCAGGCCCCCACTCTTTGTCCTTAGAATATGTCCTTAGTCAGGATCCTGAAATCACAAAGGGACCATGTCCACACTAGGTCATAACCTCAAGGGTCCATTCTTAACATGCACAGGAAACAAAAGTACTACCCTAGTTTTTTGATGGCTGGTTCTGGAAACCATATCCTTGACTAGATAGAACCATCGTTTTTTGAACTGTAGGTACTTAATAGCATGCAGGAGCACACAACTGGCCCAAAGCTCAGATGCTGGGCCTCAAGTCACCTCCCCACTCTGTCCCTTGCATCTGTGGGACATTTAACCTCACTAAGCCTCAGTTTCTTTATCTGTAAAATGGAGGTGGCAACACTTCCCTTCATGGGATTATCTAGAGGACTAAGGAGTTAATGTGTGTGTGTGTGACATTTCAGAGTGCCAGGCCCAGAAACAGCACTGGGGGCACGTGTGGATACCATGACAAAGATGCCAGATGCCTCACCTATGTAATTTATTCACTCCTCAAATATATTATAGAGTATTGTTGTTATTAAAACACCATCATCCCCATTTCACAAATGAAACTGAAGCTCAGAAAGTGGAGGGCTGATGTCTGAATTTCGGTCTGTCCAGTGCTCCCTCTCCTCCCATGAGGTGCTGGATTGATCCCAACCTGGTGATTCACAGCACTTGCCCTGTTGGCCTCCCGCCTTCTCCAGCTCATGAGCTCTCGTCACCAGCATGGAACCCAGGGTTACCCACTTAGGTGCTGACCTAGGCAGCCCAGCCCTCCTTGCCTCCATTCACTGCTGGACTCCGAAGCCTCCCCCAAGCTGGGGGCGGGCCAGGAATTCTGCCTGCCTCCTTTGGCTCTCCTGCCCCATGACTCAGGCAGGGCCCTTGTTCCTCACAGACCCGGGAGTTGATGCCTCAGTCTCTAGCACATTCCCTCTGCACAGGGGAAGTCTTCGACCTTCTCTGTTGTTTCTCAAGTCCCCAGGTAAATTCAACCACTCCAGGCAGAGGTTCTTCCCACTGCCCAAATGGGAAGTAGATGACATTGTGGGGGAGCTTCCTCACCTTGCTCCTTACACCCTGGTCCTCAACTGTCCTTGCATCCCTTCCTCTGAACTGGGAAACAGAAGTGTCCAGCCCTCTATCAGCCCCTGGAGGTGCCCCAGCTGTGATGGCCTGCCTGCCAGAGCCCCTGTGGCTCTTCCTGCCGCTGCTTCCTCTGCCTTCTTAGTCCCTACCCCACCACAACCTCACACCAGGATTCCCTGAGGATTGCCCTCTTCAGGGGCCTAGGCTTTGGCCCACACCTGCCTTGACCTCTTTCATGGCCACCATGTCTCACCTTAGTATGTCACTCCTGAATTCCCAGCTGGGAATTCCCAGTTTGTGGAGTCACAAGAAGAAGGGAAAAAGAGTTTCTGTGACAGAGCCCAGGCTTGGTCTTTGTCGCAGAGAAATAGCAGGTTCATAAGCTCTGGGACCCCTCCCCCAGCTTGGGCTCACTAAGGCCTGTTGTCTCAGAAAGGACTCCAGAGGGAGGCTCCTCTCCCCATCCCTCATCCTCATCTTCCCTCAGACACCGCGGTAGGGAAGCTTGGCTCCAAAGGCCAGCGGGTCCCTCCCTCGTCCTACCTGGGGTGAAGAGGCTCTGGCTCTGGTAACCGAGGGAAACCAGGAGGGAGGCACGGGAAGCTTCTGGAGCTGCAGGGTTGCCGCCCTCCCGCTGGGGATGAAGGGACAGTCAGAATTTCTAAGAGGACTGGGGCCCCAGGACTTAGGAATGCTCTCCCTCACCACCTACCTGATGTCTCACCTTCCCCCTCCTATTCCCACAGTTCCCCACTCCCCTCACGGGGACCCCAGGCCTTGGGGCCAGTTTGCAAATAGTGACGGGGTAGGGCGTAGGACGGGGAAATGGGGGCGGATCCCCGCGAGGGGACCCGGGTAGGGTGGGGACAGAGCAGTACGTGCCGACCTGGACCGGCGCTTCCCCGCTATGGAAGAGTGGGGCCGAGGCGACGGGCTGTGTGTGCGGGGGGCGCTGGAGCCCCAGGGGCTTCCGGGCCCCGCTCCCGTGCGTAGGATGGATCGGGGAGCCCTGGGTGGGTGTCCCCTGTCCCAGAGGTTCCTCTCCAGCTCCGCAGGCCGGGCGCTCGCCCTCACCGGCCTCAGGGTCGTTAGGGACGCCTGCGTCGCCAGGGGGCGGGCCGTGCGGTCGTCGCAGGGCGAGGTGTGGTGAGCGCAGGGGGCGGCCCCCACGGTTGTCCTGCGGGCGGGCACGTGGCACGCTGGTCGCCCTGGGGCTTCCTGGGGAATCGGCTGCGTGTGGCCATTGGTGGTAGCGGGAGCTCCTGACCTTGGGCGAGGCCTGGTGCTTCTGGGGGCGAGTTTGGGAATGGGTGGACTTTTTGTGTGGAGAGGTGAAGGCAGAGCTCTTGCAATGGGTGCTTTGGCCTCCGGATACCGTTGTGTGAAAAGGTTGGGGTGGGGCGGGAGATGGATCAGGAAAAGCATGGTGGAAACCGAGGATGGGAAGGCTCTTTCCGGACACCCCCAGGAGTCACTGAGCTTCCTCAAGGCTTCCTGCAGACCCACACCTTTCTCCAAGATGTAAACAGGGGGCCGAGGCAGGAAGGATCCAGGCCTTCCCAGCCCCAAGCTGAGTGCCAGCCCCCCTTCTGGCCCTGGAGTGACCGGATGTGGTTGATGTCCCTGATCTCCAAGGGGCTGGCTACTTAAAAAACAAACAAACAAAAAACCAAAAAGAAAAACATCTTTCTGGAGGGGAGAGGCAGCCTGGTGGGGGTGGTGTCTCATGAAGGCATAACTCAGCTTTAACTTCAACTCTGTGGATTACTGCCACTTAGTTATCTTGGGTAAATGAATATCTCAGATGCTCCACTATCAATAGAATGGGAATACCACAATGCACTGCGGTGCCCAGGGAGGAGCTGGGCCTGTGGTGAGCATCATTGAACAGGAGCAGCTGGGACACTCCTAAGGTACAGCTATGCAGTCCAAAGTCAGGCACCAGGGCTGTCAGCCCCTTCAAGCCCTGCATGGGTTTACCCACAAATCATCACGACTCAATCAGAATGAGATACTGTGCAAGGAATGACACCCTGCATTCCAACACTTTTTTTTTTTAACTAGACAACCCCAGAACCTGGTAGCCAGGGGACCCCTGCACTGAAGATGGGTCCATAGAGGTTCTTTTTTACCCCATCTTGCAACAGGATTTGGGAACAGGCAGTTCTAGTGCCTGGTTTGGAGCAGAGTGAACTCATTCTGGCGGGGGAGGAGGCCATCCCTCCAGCCCCTGACCTCCTCCAGCTCTGGGCAGCTGTTTGCTTCAGCTCCGGCTGGGGCAGGTGCTGTGTAACTGGTTTTAAAAAGCCTGTGGTTGGTCTGACCCCTCACCTACTGTCCTAGCTCCCTGCTCAGTGGCACTGACCTCTTCACCCCACTGCAGGGGCCTGCACTGGCTGCCCTCTGCCTGGAACACTTGTCTCAGATTTCTGTGGGGCTCACACTCTCACCTCCGGCTCCCAGCTCGGATGCCACCTGAAGGTGAGGCAGTAATGCCACCCCAACCTCCTGACCCCCAGTCTCACTTTAGTTGTCATCACTGACACCCTCTTCTTTTTTTTCTGTGCTGGGGACTGAACTCAGGGACTCACACATGCCAGGCAGGTTCTCTAACTCTGAGCTACATCCTCAGCCCTTTTTAGTTTGTTATAGGGTCTCACTAAATTGCCCAGGCTGGCCTCAAGCTTGCCCTCCTCCTACCTAAATCTTCTGAGAGGCTGGAATTACAGGCCTATGTCACCGTACCTGGCTCTTGTTTCTCTTTCTTGCCTATTTCTCCCACTAAAAGCAAGTCTGAAACTTGCTTCCAAGCAGAAACTGCTGGTGCTTGCCACGGTCTCAATGATTGAGCAGTTCCTGTTGCTCAGTGTTCTCAACAAGTCAGCAGGGCCTGAACTAAAACAAGAAGTCACTGGACCTGTCTGAGCACTCTGAGGATGAGGATGGTCCAGACTGGGATCCTGGGTGGCCTTTCTGCTCTGTGTGAGTGGTCGGACTGGTGATGGGGCACCTATGCCATGCTGGGAAGAAAAAAAAATTTTTTTGATGGTGTTAGGGATTGAAGCCAGGGCCTTGTACATGTGAGGAAAGCACTGGACATTGTTTTAAGTAGAAGAAACTTCCAGAGCTTCCTATCCTTTGTGAAGTACTTTATTTATTTTTTTTTTAAAAAGAGAGAGAGAGAGAGAGAGAGAAAATTTTAATATTTATTTTTTAGTTTTCGGCGGACACAACATCTTTGTATGTGGTGCTGAGTATCAAACCCAGGTCGCACGCATGCCAGACGAGCGTGCTACCGCTTGAGCCACATCATCCCCAGCCCGTGAAGTACTTTTTAATAAGCAATCACAGCCACAACAGCTCTTGTCTTCACGTTGGGTGGGGATGGTGTGTCTCTGGGCCCACTTCTACTTCCCCTGGCCCATGTCTCCTCGTGTCATGCAGGGCCCAGACGAGGTGGCCCAATTCCGCTCAGCCACTTGGCCTCCAGCCTCGAATCCTCTCTGCTTCAGCTTCCTGGAGGTTCTGCTGGCCCTTTCAGGGTGCCAGCTGCGTGCCTTTAGTCCATGTGGGTGCCAGGGAGGACCTGGGTCAGAGCTGGTTAAGGGCGTAGGTTCGGGCTGTCCTGAGGGCAGCTTCCAGGTCTGTGGTGCTTCCAGTGCCCTGGGCCACCACTCGAGAGCCCCAGGCCTTGCCCCCCATGTGGCTGCACACGGCCAGCGCCCATGCCTCTGCCGTGAAGGTGGGTGTGGCACCCTGAGGACAGAATCAGAAGTGAAAGGGATGCAGAGTAGCCCTCGCTGCTAGCCTCCACTCAGCGGACCCGCAAGAGTGGCATCCTGGTGACCAGCAGCCCCTCTCTAGCTGTGGGCAGAGGCTGATGAGCATCTGTGACTTGTTGCAGGGAAGTGAGCCTGGGAGGGGTGGGGATTAGGGAGTCCCACAGTGTCTTCTGGGGCAGCAAAGGGCTACCTTTAGGGAAAAGGAAACTGCCCTATGCCTATTCTGAGATGTCCTCTAGGGCACCTCCACTCAGCCCTGGCCTTCTTGTCTGGGAGGAATAAAAGATACAGAATCAGAGAGCTGGACCTGGAGCTGCCAGGGGTGGGGTGCTCTCCCGCTTCCCTTACCTGGGCCACCTGACAGGCACACAGCACGCTGCCCACTGGCTGAGGGCTGAGAAGGAGCACGGACGTGCTGGGGGCCTGTGTGCACAGCTGCCGCACCACCTTCACCAGCACCTGGTGGGAGGACACAGGGGACTGCCTAGCTTCCTAGACTCCCAGATACCTCCCAGCCAGGACCGTGTCCTCCTCGGGCCCTGATGCAGCCCCCAGTGCCAGTACTCACTGATAGGGACTCGGCAGGGACTGTGTCCACAATCAGAGGCCCCTTCGTGTGCCTCTTGAGCAGCTCCTCGGATTTCTTTGCAGCCTGTGGGGCAGGAAGGACAGTAGAGGGGTCAAGCTGAGAGCCAGATTTCCCATCATCCCCACCTCAGAATTAAGCCCCAGTCCAGATCCCCATGTGCTTCTGTGCCCTCTCTCAGTGAAGGTCATCAGCTCTGAGTGGTGGTGGCGGCAGGGGCTCTGCCAAGGATGTCCCTGTTTTTTGTGCTCCACCCACGTCCTTCCTGCCTGCCTTGCCTCTTCCCTTTCATCATAGCTCTAGGCCCCTACAAAGAAGTCACTGAAGGTGACAGGAGGAAGGCTGAGCACAGATGGACCAGGAGGGGAATGACAGTCACAGGGCAATGTGGGTTCAATGGGGTTAATCAAGTTAGGTTTCCTGGAGGAAAAGCTAGGGGAGAGACAGTTTGGCAGAGAGAAAAATGGGGACACATTTGAGATGGCTCCTGGCTGGCAGGTGAAGGAAGCAGTGGTCACCGGCCCCTTCCCTTTGTCCCTGCATAGGCTCTGACTTTGCCTCCCATCACCCCAGCCCTTTTTAGGGGAAAGCTTCTTGGGGTTCACAGGGGCGTGCCACACCCCCTCTTACCTGGCCCATCTCCAGCTTGCGGATGGCTGTGTTGGCGCGACGCTGGAGCACCTTCAATGTGGCCTGAAGCTCCCGCCGCTGCCACTGGGGCATCATGGCAGTGTCCACAGCCTGTGGCCAGGGTGTGTCATTTTGCCCTTTCCCTGGGTCATGCCTCCGAGGCAAGGAGCAGCAGGGCCGGGGCGGACACCTCACCCGCCCTGCAGACAAACCCCTGGAGCCCAAACCAACTGGAGTGCTGGGTAGAGACTGGAAGGGTCCAGGGAAGCCCGGGAAGGGAACAGGACCAAGAGAAGGTGGGAAACAGCTCCATTATGGGGATGGCCCCTACCTCCGTGAGCCGTCCCATGTCCTTGGATAGCCGCTGTGCCTCCCCCAGGTCCTGGGTGCCTCGACTCAGTCGCTCTGTGGCTGCTTCCACCTCCTGGGTGAGGCTCTGGCCCACTTCTCGGGCCTGCAGAGAGGGGACAAGATGGTCAGAGCTTCCAGGCTTACTGTCACCTCCCTAGGACAGGGGCTTGCAGCTGGTCAAGGTCAAATATTTAACAGCAAGAGCTCATCAAGGCAATAGCACCAAATAATCTTACCAGGTGCCAGTTGCCAACAGCTGGCCTGGCCACACCAGTGTGCGTATATGGACACTGGCTCCACTGCGGGGCATCCCTGAGCCCGGGATATTGGCTGTGTGTGTCCCCTGCCCTCCCTGTCCACTCCTGGGAGTCTCCTGGGCCTACTGGTGCACTGACCTGCTTGGCCTGCTCCCCGGTGATGGCCAGCAGACGAGTGGTGCCTTTGGTGAGCTGGTGCTCCCCGATGATAACCAAGTCCCCCACATCCCCTGTGCGTAGCAGGTGCCTATGGGAAGGAGGAGGCAGGACAAAGTCAGAAGGGATTATTGAAGAGAAGGGAGAAGCCTGAGCCCCAAGCAGAGGTGTGGTGGCTCTAAAGACCATGGAAAGGTAAAGATCTAGGGCCCCGGGTCAGGGCAGCAGAGAGAGACTCACGTCCCACAGCAGAGCTCCACGGAGGTCTGCAGTGCAGCCTGGGAGGCGGGGTCCAACGCACGGGCCACAGGTACCCCCACGGACACCACCCGCACTGGGTCTGGGTACACCTGAGGGTTAAGAGGGGACAGGCCTGTAATGCCTGTAAAGGACAAGGAGGAAGCCTTCTGGATATGACTGAAGGGAGCAGGCCATCTCCATCAACTGACCTCATCCAGAAAGCGCAGGCCAGGGATGTGGGCAGTGAGCGCCAGAGGTACCTCCTCCATGTATACAGCCTCGTCCTGCCCCACGGCTTCCTGCACAGTATCTTCTATTCTCCGGAGCTGCTCTGGGGTCAGTGGGGCCTGGGGGGTTGGGGGAAATGGACATGGAAACAGGCATTAGCCTTATCCTTGTAACTGATACATTAAGGAGCAGTTGATGTTCATTGAACTCTCCCCAGGTTCTACAACAGTGGCTGGCACATAATAGGTACTCAATAAACGTTGGTAGAGGAATAATTATCTTCCTTAGAAGGCCACCTGGGAGTTGGGCCTACTAGAAGCTGCAGCCCTTTCACTGGGCATCAGAAGTTGGTGAAAATAGCAACTTCTGTCCTTAGAAAACTTACAACAAGAGGCCCAATGGGAGAGAAATATAGCTGAGGGCACTGCAGGAGCAAAGGGTCAATGAGTGCATTTTGGTGGAAGGATTAGAGCTGATGGGTAGAGAGGGGGAAGGGGAACAGAGAAGGGAAAAGGCAGCCCAGTGTGAAGAAGAATGGCTAGGGTGACAATAGGAACAAGGTAGATGGGTGGCTGGAGGTGAAGGGAGTGTCCTTAGCTGCAGGGCCTGCAGAACCCAACATCAGAGCTAGGAGAGGCCCACTGACTAGTCTGGTCACTCCTGGCACACTGGACTGTCTCTCTCTAAGCAATTTGCTTTATGTAAAGCCTGTCTTCCTGTGCCTGGCTCACCTGGGTGGCCACATCAAAGCGCAGTCGTTCCGGATTGAGATGGGAGCCCCGCTGCTCTGTGTTGGGGCCCAAGGTTTGCCGCAGAGCCCAGCTCAGGAGGTGGGTAGCCGTGTGCTTCTCCATGCAGCCCAGACGCCAGGCCTGTAACGCTTTTGTCATTCAGGGTCCTGGGTGAGGATGGGGCCTGGGGAGGTTGAAGGGGTCACAGGATATTGAGCATAACTGGGCTGGGGTCCTTACCTTATCCACATGAAGCTGCACCTGGTCCCCCACTTGCAGGCATTCAGGGGCCACTGCCTCATGCAGGACAAAGCCCCCGAAGACTTGGGCCCGGGCCACGGGGAACAGCACATCCTGAGGGAGAGCAGGGCCAAGATGTGGGAGTGTTGCTTGTGTCTTCTCCTTCCCTTTGGCCCCCATCCAGGCTTAGATCTGCCTCCCCAGAAGTTAGCCTAGGGTGGGGAACACTCACCTGCTGTCCCACCCGCACCAGGTAGCCTCGGTCAGAAGCCTGACCCCCTTGTTCAGCATAGAAGTTGGTCCTGTCCAGGAGGAAGCCACAACGCTGGCCTGCCCCCACAGAAGCCACAGCTGTCCCGTCCTCTGCATACAGCCGCAATACCTGGGCCTCACACGTGCCAAACTCTGCCAGGGTGCAGAAGGGTTATCTGTGGTAGGCCGCAGCTGGGGATGCGGAATGTGGGTCTGTGACTTGAGGCCAGCAGGCACCAGGCTGGGGCCGCAGCGACCCCTGGTGTCTAGCCTGGGGAATGCATAAGGGCTGGGAGCCATCATCTTTGATGTCCTCCCCAATCATGGTCAGGCAAGCTTGTGGCCACCGGCTTGGGTCCAGGCTCTCACCATAACCCCCATCAGGTTGCAGGGAGTAGCTGTACTTGGGGCTGTCATCGGTTGGGGGCACCCCTTGGCGTTGCAGCTCCCCCAGTGCATGGATATTGAGGTGCAGTCCTTGCTCTTGCTCTGGCTCAGTGCGCTGAGCCCGGTGCTGTAGGACCCGTGCATGAAAGAAACAAGTACAGAGAATGCCATGGGACTTGTGCCTTGGAAAGCCCTGTCCCCACGAACTCTGCAAAGGGGTATGGAATAAGACCTCAGGGCTTGGTTGGCTGGTGGACCCTCCCTCACGCAGGCTCCTTGGGCCCGGGCCTTCCTACACACCACCCCTGGAGCCCCCCCTCTAGGATGCTGTTCTGGCCTCCCCACTTCTTCTCTGTTCAGCTTACTGCCAGCTAGTGTTCTTCTCTATAGGCTCTGAGCAGGGGCTGAGCTTTCTGTTCCATCATTCCCATGGGTGAGGGGACAGACTATCTCAGCCTCTGGATTCTTCTCAATAGCTATAGATCTTGCCCCAGGAACTCAGGGCTGGGGAAGAGGCTGACAGGTCTCAACAGAACCAGAACAGGGGTGCCCCAGCTGTACCTGGGCCTCCTCTTGGGCCAGTCGTTCCAGCCCCGCAAAGTCCAGCTTCACCCCCTTCTCCTGCAGCATCAGCTCCACCAGGTCCAGGGGGAGCCCCAGGTCCCCAGACAGTGATAAGGACCAGGCCACTTCAGCTTTGAGGAAGGAGGACAGAGTATTGAGGAGGACAGGGGTACGGCAAAGGAAGGGGAGAGACATAAGAGAGAAGTAAGGGGCCAGGGCTTTTCTAAGCACATAGAGACAACCATGTGCCAAGCACAAGTGCCCCCTCCCCGTACAAGGGACTCCCCGGTGAGGGGTCACCTTCAAGCTTCATTTCCAAAGCTGGAGCTGGGATATTTAGAGGAGTGGGGAGGCTCGGCCTAAGCATGCAGCCCCCTTGGATCATAGGGACACGAGGCAGGGCTGGCTGGGCAATGCAGGGTAGGGAGATGCGGGGTGAGTTGACTGCTGTGGGGACAGGAGAGGAGGCACAGGGAGGCAGGATGTGGACAGGAGCCACAGGACTGGCCCAGAGCTCCTTCCCCTCCCTACTCACCAGGGAACAAATCAGAAGGCCCCAGGCGCCTCAGAGCTCGGTCAATGATCTGCCGGCCCCGCTGCAGGGAGGCCAGGAAAGTTGCCTCGTCCTCTGACACTAGGTTGGTTATCTGAACAGGGCAGGGCAGGAGTGGAGCTGGGTCTCGTTGTAGGGGGACCTCTCTCCATAAATCTCCCATCAGTCCCTCCCTCCCCACCCAAATCTAGTACCTGCGCTGAGTTCTTCTGCAGTTCAGGATAAGTGTTCCCCTAGGGAAGGTAAAGAGGGCTGAGGAGGCCTGATGGGCAGCCAGCCCACCTCAGGCCTCCCTGAGGACACCTGCCCTAGAGGCTCAAGCCCTCTGAGGGACAGGGGAAGGGACCCATATAGGCCACTGGTTGTCCTATGGGTTAGGGATAGAGGCAGAAGGGAACCCTAAGGTCAAAGGCTCAGTGACCTGGGCCACGACCCTCAGGCAGCCTCCTTGCCTCTTGTAAGCAACTCTGGCAGAGAGGATGCTGGGCTGGACACTTAGGATGAGGAACCCTGGGGACCCAGGCCAGGGGTACTAGCTGGGCTCAGTCGTAGGGTCTTTCAGGGCCTAGGGAGGCCTTACCAGTGTCTCCACCACCACTGGCACCAAGCTGCCCAGGAAGCCAGGTGGTGCTCGTAAGACCTCCGTGGAGAAGCGCACAGCTCGCCGAAGAATCTGACGAAGAACCAACCTAGGGGGGTTCAGAGCCCAGATATGAGCCCCCAGCAGCCTCTGATCACAGTAAGCCCTCTCCCCCATTTGTCTTGTGCTCTCCACCTGACCCACTGTTCTATGTCCTTCCCTCCTTGCCCTGTAGCCTCCAGCAGCTCCTGCCACTCTGTGGAGCCCTTCCAGACTCACGGGGCACCTGACATTCCTGGGGAGACGCCATCGGCAATGCAGACACTGAGTGTGCGGATGTGGTCAGCCACCACGCGATACGCTGTGTCTATGCGTCCCTCGTCTGCTGCTCCTACCCGGCCTGAGTAAGGGGGTGCCCCACAGCTCTGGAAAACAGGAGAGGAAACATGCTGTTGGCCCTGCCTGATCTGCCCAGGTGGATGTTCTTCATTGATTCCACAGCCCTACAGTCACCCACTTCCAGAATGGGCTTCTGAAGAAGCTACCCAGGTGAATGAGAGCTAGTCCTGCCTACATGGGGCTTACATCAGCATTAACAATGATCATGACTGTGATTACTTACTGAATTTCTACTCTCAGAACTGGGTGCCTCCTTGAAAAATGATGTCATCCTACAAATAGCCCTGATCAAGAGGTATTATTATCTTTAAAGAGAGGAAACTGAGGCTCAGAGGAGCTAAGGGACACAGGCCACAGAACTCATCAGGTGCAGATCTGACCTCTGAAGCAGGCCTGACAATCAACACAGGGGAGTGCTCGCCGGATTCCACCCCTTCCCCAGGCTTCCTCAAAACAGTAAACAGCCCTGTCACTCACTGCTGGCAAGTCATTAACCCTGCCCCTCCCCATCTGATCCCTCAGTGGGTCCTTTTCTTCTACCTACGTGAGAACTCCCCAATCAATCTGCTTTTTCTATTTCCGCTGCTGCCACTTTTGTAGTGCCCCATGGTGTCTTGACTGGCCTGCTAATGGCCTCCTAACTATTTCTTGGCCGTTACTCTTATCATCCTTTAGTCCGTGTTCCACACAGCAACAAGAGTGGCCCTTCAGAAGCGTTATCTGGGACCTGTCACCCCACACCCCAGTCCTTTTCACCACAGGTGGAATAAAAGCCTCACTTTGGACTTCAAGGCCTCACAAGATTTGACTCCTGCTTTTTTCTCTGTGATGGGTTGTTTGCTAAAACAGTCCTTTCCCGAGCACACAGCACTTTGTGATGAAACTACAGCTGCTTCCCATGGAAGGACAGAATCAATTTCTCCATTGCGTCTGAGGCTGGCCTTGTGACTTGCTCTGGTCAATGGAATATAGTGAAAAGGACACCATCCCAAGCCTACACTTCTGCTTTCCTTCCCGGAACCTTGCTGAACTGTGATGTGAACAAGCCTGAGCTAGCCAGCTGGATGATGATGGACATACAGCCCACTCACTCTAACTGGAAGTCAGCCAAACCCCAAAACAGAGCTGCCTCATAGTTGAGCACAGATGTATGGTGACCTCACACAAGACCAAAAGAATGACCCAGCTAACCAACAAACAGCCTGCTTCAGACTCATGAGCTCAATGGCGGTTATAAGTCATGGAACATTTGGGTAGTTTATTATATAGCAAAATCTAACTGACATGTGGCCAGTTATATATCCTGTGATTCTACTTTAGCAGGCTGGCTGTCTTTGGTCCCTGGTACATGTCAAGACTTTTCCTGCCTCAGGGATTTGGTACCAATTGTACCCTCAGCCTGAAATAAACTTCCTGTTGCTGACTCCTCTTTTAGGTTTCAGATCAAAGGTCATCTCTGGTGAGCCTTCTCCACATACCCCGTGTAGTATTCCTTGGTACCCCCCTCAGTTACTCTCAGCCATGTTTATCACTTGTTTACAATTTGTAACCTATAATCTTATTTGTTCATATACTCATTTATTGTGTTTCATACTAGCGAGTAATCTCTGTGATCTCCTGCCTGTTTACGGCTATTTCCTCTGTACCAAGCACAAAGGACTGAACACAAAGTAGGCCTCAACTCACAGTTTTTGAAGGAAGGAAGGAGTTAGAAGCAACATCAAGGAACAGTGAATCCCAGCCTCATGTTTGAAACTCTGGGATTCTTGGCTGGTCACTGTCCCCACGTATTGGAAATACTCTGAATTCTCGACAAAGATGACAAGCCACTGAGGCTGAGTGCCAAAGACAAGCAGGTTAGAGAGCTTCTGGAAGGACAGAGGTAGGCTCACCTGGTGAATGGCATTGAGAAGCGGGGAGAAGAGGTCAGTGTCATAGGTGGAGCACCTGCCTTGCAGCACGGCCACCAGCCTTTCTAGGCCCATTCCTGTGTCCACGTGTCGATGGGGCAGGGGCTGTAGGCTTCTGTCGGCCTCTCTAACCAGGGAAGGTATACAAGATGAGGTTAATCAGGATACAGGTGCAAGGCAGATGCCCAAGTGGAGTAAGGAGAAGTCCAAGAGGGCCCAACACTGGGAGGAACAGGATGGTTCCACCACCCATCCCCACCCAGTGGGACATGACAATGGCCTTGAGTCCTGTCCTTTCTTATACAGTACTAACTCTACCCTCACCCTTGTCTGGGCCTTTGCCTAGATCCATACATCACCCAGTAGGAAAGAATTTTTTGCCCTTAGAAAGACATGTCAAGGCTAGAAGAAAATCCTGAAGAGCATTAAGTTCAACTCCATTGCATCCTAATAGAAAAGAGACTAATTTAAATTGGCATGGACAAAGACTAGGATTGAATTAGTCATTATCTGAAAAGTATTTTAAAATATGTCTGATACATATTAAGTGCCTTTTAAGTATGTGTTTTTATAAAAAGTGGATGAGTCTTCAGACTGCCACCTTTATTTAAAAATATTTTTTTTAGGTGTTGATGAGCCTTTGTTTTATTCATTTATTTATATGTGGCGATGAGAACTGAACCCAGTGCCTCACACATGCTGGGCAAGCCCTCTACCACTGAGCCACAGCCCCAGCCCCTGACTGCCACCTTTTTAACCCCTAGCCAAGAATTCTCCAGCTTCAGCGCCCCATTACCTGTTGTGCTGCATGAATACCAGATTCCAAAGTTCCACCAGCTGAGGGGCTCCCACCCCACCAGCCAGGTCATAGTGGATCTCAGTACAGGGCCCACAAGGGCCAGTGTCCCCCATCTCCCAGAAGTTCTCCTGTGGTCCAAAGGAAAGTACACGGTTGGCAGGCACCCTGGGGAGAAAGCCAAGTAAGTGGTGGGAGATAGATTCAGAAGCTAGGACACTTTTGTCATGAGATTCCCTCCTCCAAGTCCCAGCTCAGCAAGAAGAGGAACAGGGCTGACCCTGAGACTAAGGACCTATGCTGGCAGTCTGTTTTCCAGTTTACCTTCCCTCCATGAATGAATATAAAGAGGGGACTGACTTACCCTAAGCTGAGCCAGATGTCCCTGCTCTCCAGGTCTGGGTCCAGTCCTATTTTGGGATCTCCACCAAAGTAGGAGACCCAAAGCCTATCCTCAGGAATCCTGTAGACTTGAGTCAGAAGTTCCCAGGCCATGCTGCAAGCCTCTTCCTGCAGCAGAAACCAGGAAGGGGGGGAAAGGGGGAAGGTGGGTGAGAGGAGGCCCTAAGTACGTGCCAACCAAGCCACATGAGTTCAGATCTTAGGTGAAGACAAAACCATTTCCGTTGCCTATCTTGTTTCTGGAATAAACCAAGACCATTTCTGACTCTGAAGTTTATTTTTTTTTTCCTGTCCAGAAAGCTTCCCTGTTCATCTGCCTACCTTCTTTCAAGTTCTAGAATGAATCCCACTTTTTCATGAAATCCTCTACCCACCCTAGTCTGGGGTGACTTTTAATTCCAGTTAGCACCTCAGCATTGCTGTCTGGCCACTTATTCATAAGATAATGTAAACACATCCACTAGATGAGAGGTACAGTCCCTGGAGGGCAGGGAAACAATCCAATTAGGGAAATGAGGTGTAGTCCCATTATACCTGTTCATCCAGCACTTTTCCTCTACATCTAGTATGAGGCCCTGCCTAAGAAGACAGGGAGGGAAGGTAGAGTTCACCTTGGCCTCTTTCTGGATCAGGTCTGATCTTTTCTTAACTCTGATCCTTTCTTAACTCCAGAACTTCCTAGAGACTCACCTTAAAATATTCACCCCTGAAGGCCCAATTGCCAAGCATCTCAAAGAAGGTATGATGGGAAAGGTCTCGACCCACATCTGCCAGATCATTATGGCGTCCTCCAGCTCGCACACATTTCTGGCTGTTGGCCACACGCCGGTAGCCTGCCATCTCACTTCGAGGATCCACAGTGCCCAGGAAGATGGGCTTGAACTAGAAGCATGTGAAGGGAGAAGGCAGATATCTCCTTAGAAGGGAAAAGTGGGGAGTGGACATAGCAAAAGCTGTTCAGACTGAAGGCCAATTGTGACCTTGAGAGTACAGTTTGGTCTTGGCCTAGGAAGACAACCTGGGAGCCTGTGACAGCCATCTCTGGTGTGTGTGAAGCACAGCTAGGGACTCTCTACTAGTAAAATAATTAAGAACGATAAATGTACCGGTGGCTGGAGACAATGCACTGAAAGGTGACACCTTTATCTCAGCGTCTTCAAACACACTCAGTAACTTAAGGGAACAAAACTGATCACAGGCCAGGTGCTGTGGCACATGCCTGTAACCCCAGCAACTTGGAAGCTGGAGGCAGGAGGATCACAGGTTCAAGACCAGCCTCAGAAATTTAGTAAGGCCCTAAGCAACTTAAGAATGCCCTGTCTCAAAATTAAAAAAAAAAAGGGGGGGGGAGTTGGGGATGTGGCTTAGGGATAAAGCACCCCTGGGTTCAATCCTCAATACCAAAAAAAAAAAAAAAAACTATCAGCATTTAGTAGGCTTTTAAAGTAAACCTCCCATCCGATCTTCAAATTATAGATGAGGACAACGAAGTCTAGAGAGAGTAAGTGTTGCTCAAAATCAAAGCGTAGAAAACAGTACCTAGAACACAGCTGGTGCTCAATAAACATTAACGGTCAAGTTATCTTTATTCATAACTCCGCTGGACTTCACACCTGCCATTCTGAGACTAAAAACCCCGTCCCTGACCAGTCAAGTCCTCCCCAATCTCTATCTAGGCGTAAGCTCCGCCTCCAACGCGTCATCCAACTTCGCCCCGCCCCCTCTCTCACAAAGCCGTGCGCCCCACCCCCCACTTCTTTTGCCCAATCCCGCGGCGCCTTTCTCCGGGAAAACTCACGAACTCCGCCCCTGATGAGTACGGCCCCGCCCCCACCTGGTTCATGCCCGCGTTGACGAACAGCAGACTCGGGTCGCCGCGGGGCCGCACGGAGGCAGAGGGTACCAAGCGGTGGCCGTGGCGATCCCGGAAGAAGCTCAGGAAGGCGTCCCTCACGGCGGAGCTCTGGGCTGGAGGCGGCTTGGTGGAGGCTGGCCGACGGCTGGGGCCTTGCCATGCGGGCGACCTTCGAATGGGCCGCCGCAGCCGCCGGGCTACAGCTGCCACCGGCGCCGCCATCGTAGCTCTGAGCAGCGGCCTCACGGGATCAAAGAGTGACTTGAAAGGAATCCGTGCGTTTTCAGCAGCGGCCTCTGGCGACAGGAGGACTCAGGGCAGCCTCTGCCGAGGTGGAAGTGGTTGGGAAGGAAGGGGGACGCTGGCAGAAGTTGGAATAGCACAGCGCCTGGCACATAGTGGGCCCTCGATTCACTTAGCATAAAACAAATATTTATCAAGAACGCGCCTCCTATGTGTTAGTCATTGATTTAGGCGCTTAGGTATTTTAGTAACAAAATTAATAAAATGTCCAGCCCTCTGAAATCTATATTCTAGCAGTATTTGTTGTTATGCTTTTAGATTTTGCAAGGTTATAAATGGGGCTACAGTGAAGAGGTGTAGATTCAGTTTTGTGTGTGTGTGCTATGTATTTTTCCAGGCCTAGGGAAGAAGGTACAGAATGCCAAGGGAATATCAACATTCATTCAAGGGGCATTGAATATCACTATGTGCCAGGCACAGATCTAGGCACTTGCCAATTCCCTTTGCCCTTTGCATTGGAGATAGTCATTTTCTCTTTAGAGACTGAAGTAAGCCTTTTGGAGCAGGTTTCTGTCAGAGACACAGAAGGCAAACAGCATCTGCTTCATTATTAATTGCTTAATAACATTTGGTCTTTTAATTTGCCTGGGGATAAGAGAGAATCCAGGTCACCAGGTCAGAACAAAGCTGTTGGCTGAAAGCTGCAGAGATTGATCTCCATAGGCTCCCAGATGCCCTGGAGTTTTGTATATTTTGCTTCAGGGCAAGAGACATCTTTCCCAACTCCCCTTGTGTCTTTCTCTCCATGGTAACAGCTGTGACTGTAAGGCCAACACAGATCCTTGTGGGTGCAGCCAGACTCCTCACAAGGCTTCTCATGATGACCTCTGCCCTAGGTTTGGGAAATTAAACAGAGACTGGGTCAAGGTTAAGGCCCATTAGGGTCAGCAGAGCTGACAAAGAAGGCCTTGGCTATAGAGGAAGGGGTTCTTTTGGCCACCATTCTTTGTGAGTTGTTTTTGGGGGCCTTTTGAAACCATTTCCTGTGTAGTCTATTTTGGACTTGAGCTTCTATAGCAATAGAGAATCCTCAACTTTGTTTTCTGACAGAGCCCATCATGTCTAGACCATGATTCTGTTTCTCATGTAGCCCACGTAGGTTAAAGGTGCTGTTTTGTTAAGTGCTTTGCCTGTTTTGGTTTTTCCAGCATTTCTGGAACAGGAACCTAAAACCAGCTGGGGATTTCTTTGAGACTGATGACCTTGAAAAAACTGTGAAATTCTTTCCCAAACTGAGATGGGAGTGTTTCCCTGGATAAATATAGCAGGGCCTCTACTTTTTTCCAGATCGTGCTCAGAGAGTCTTTGTGTTATAGTAGGAACTCCATGTTTTAGACTTGCCTGTATCTTGTGTGGTACCATGAATTAAAAAAAAAGCAGCTTTATTGAAATATACACACCATACAATTCACCCATTTAAAGTACACAAATAACTTTTAGTATGTTCACAGAATTGTGCAACATTACTGCAAATCACTTTTAGAACATTTTCATTACTTCCAAAACAAAGCTGGCATTCTTTGGCCATTAACCACCAATCTCCATATATATATATAGGATTTTCAAATTCTGGACATTTTATATAAGTGGAATCATATATGTGCTCTTTTGTAACTAACTGTTTTCACTTAGCATGATGTTTTTAAGGTTCAACTATGTTATAATATGTATCATGTATTTAAAAAATTATTTTTAGGGGCTGAGGTTATGGCTCAGTGGTAGAGTGCTCGCCTTGTATGTTTGAGGCCCTGGGTTCAATCCTCAGCACCTCATAAAAGTAAATAAATAAAACAAATGATGTCCAACTGCAACTAAAAAAAATAAATATTTAAAAAGAATAAAATAAAAATTATTTTTAAATTGCTTTCTGTTTAATTGTTTCTTTTAATTTTGTCCTGGCCTTTAAAAAAATATGATAATTTTCTTTTCTATAAATGTGGTGTTCTTTGGTGAATCGCTTCTGTTTAGGATTTCTTGGTGAAACAAAGTGATTCTGTTAGCACTGGAATGTGTCTATTCTGACTTGCCACCATCATCTGATGAGGAAGTAAAACTCAAGGTCTGCAGCTTCCCAAGACGGAGGGGGAGAGAACTCATCAGACTGGAAGTTAGCAATGTGGGAACATTTCTTGGGAGTACAGAGCCACTGTCTTAGTGTTTGCAGGAATTTCATTTTTGCAGTTTCAAATGAGGTCTGTTTTCTGAGGGCTCTTCAGCTGCATTTTGTGAGCACCATGTTGGGTGCTGCCTTTATTCTTGTTAAAGACAGTGTGCTGTGTCTTCCCTCAGTCTTGAGATTTCTCTTATGTTGCCATTCGACCTACTTATCTCGCCAGGTGCAAAGCACTCATATTTTGAGGGGCCCCCCCATTTTCACCTGTTTAAAGAAGCGGTACATTCATTCTGGGAGTAGACACTGTCCTTTGGCTTTGAAAGCAGAAATCAGAGTTCAGTGGTATATTCTGTTCTGGACTGATGGACAGAGGATACTTTTCACCCATGCTGAGTATAGAGAACCCAGCTTCGGAACCTTCTTTTTTATAAATCATAAAGGCGGTCCTTTAGTGTCTAGGTTAAAAGTTTAACCTATAAAAGGTGTTCCTGGTTTGATGCGTTTATTATAGCATTGCCTTATGTTGGACTGTGAAACAACACCTGTCAAACGTTAAGACACATGCGGATCTCCTAGGATCTTGTTAAAAATGCAGACACTGAGGTCTGGGGTGGGGTTCTGATCTGGGAGGTAAGAAAGGTTCCTGTCTGATTCTAGCAGGTTCTTGTATTTCTCGAATGTTCCCAGGTCTGCTGCTGCTGGTCTACTAGATTATACCTTGAGTGACAAGGATGTAGTAGAGGGCTTAAGGGGAGAATCTGGATTTCGGCTTTAGGAAGGGTGCCTTTGCCAGTTCTGGATTTCTAAGGCTCAGGGACTCCTAGGTTCTCTCCTTTTGGGAGTGGCGCTCTCTTTGAGCGGGTGGTGGAGGCTGGAGCTCCTGCGCGTGCGTGCTCGCTCCTCTCCACCAGTTGCTTAGAAACGCAGACGATGTTGCTGTCTAGCAGGGGAGCGGAGGGTCACTCTCCCCAGACAATTTAGTGCTGGGAGCTCTTGACTGGCGGGTGCTAGACAGCAGAGATCCGGCATTCAAGGCTTTTGGATCTTCGAGGGTCGGAATGCTTTGAGTTTATCCTTACACATTTAAAAATAATTTAAAACTATTTTAAAAAATTGTATTTTAAATAGTTATATAAGTACTTACATAGTATCCACTCTTTTGCTTCTTTTGACTTGCAAAACCTAAAATATTTAAAAATGTTTGCTGATCTCTCCATTAGAGATGGGTTTTAAAAACTCATTTATAAGTCATAATAAAACATGTAGAAAACCAACTGAAACAAATGTATAACTTAATTGTTAGAAAAGCATACATCTTGGCTGTGAATGTAGCTCAGGGCTTGCTTATCGTGCTCTAGGTTGTGGGGTTTTTTTTTTTTTTTGATAGTTTTTTTTTAAATTTTATTTTTTATTCTAATTTGTTATGCATGAGAGCAGAATGCATTTCAATTTATAGTACACATATAGAGCATGATTTCTCATGTCTCTGCTTGTTCACAAAGTATATTCACACTATTCGTGTTTTCATACATGTACTTAGGGTAATGATGTCCATCTCATTCCACCATCTTTTTTACACCCCTTGTCCCCTCCCTTCCCCTCCCTCCCCTTTGCCCCCCAAAAACCAAATGCTGAATGTTTTCTCTGATATAAGGAGGCTGATTCGTAGTGGGTTTGGGAGGGGAGCATGGGAAGATTAGACGAACTCTAGATGTGGGTTTGATCCTTAGCACGCAATGGTACTCCTTCCCCGCCCCCAACAACTTTGTATCCACCACCCAGGTCATGAACTAGAACTTGGCAGCTATCCAAGGGGCCCTCCATTGCTTCTGCCCCAACCCCAATCACCTTCCTCCTCCCAAAGGTGACTTTCATAGTAACCACCGCTTTGCATTTCTTTATAATTTTGTCACCCAAGTGCATATCCTTAGGTGTTATGATCTTGCCCATTTATTCTTCCCCCAAAAAAGTTGATATGTGTTTTAAGTCTTTTATGCTGTAGATTCCTACTGCATCTTCTTCTTTTCTTTAAAGGGAGGCTCGATCTGTACAGTTTCCCAGTCTGAGCTTTTGTTGTCCGTTTATTCAACATTCAGCTCACATTCTACATGTTCTTTGTTTTCGCTATTTCATGCAAATTAGCACCTGGATCTAGAGATTTGTAGGACACAAGTTTGGGCCTTTTTAGCAAAACTTTAGATGCTCTTTCCCCAGAAGGTACTTTAATGTTTGGTTGTCTGCCTTTCTGTAGGCTTATCAGCCACTGATAGCATAATGCCTGTATCTTTGAATTCACTAGAGGTTTCAGTATGGTGGTAGTCTATTTCTTTCATATTTTTTTTTATTAGTTGGAATATTTTATGAAGAGATGCTTTCCCTGAGCTATTATTTGTTAACTAGGGGAACAGTTAATGTAGAAAAGACTGAATGTTTGATTTTCCCCCTTTACTTACTAGTGTTCGAGATAATAAATTTGTTTCCTATTACCTTTCAAAAGTGAGCTATTATATTTCCAACATCATTTAGAACATGTGGGTTTCAATATGTTTGATGGTTTTAATCCATTGCAATTACTAGCTCTGTTAAGCTTAAATTGTCCCATTATTGGTCAGTGGAGACTTCTTTGATTTGGCTGCTGAGTCTTTTTGATATGATTCTAATAGTCTGGTAGATTTCCTTGCCTTTTGTCATGGCAAGATATATCTTGCTTATTTTGTGTATTCCTAGGCTTGGAATAGTACTTCAAAATATAATCTAATAGTATTTCAAAACTATAATCTAGGTATCTGGGATGCTTTTTGCTATATGTTAATCATTGTTCCTAG